ATATAAATAAAATATACAAAGGGGATAAATAGAATAAATAGGAATTAGGGAGTGAACAAAGAAAGAGAAAGACGACACTGCATCTGTGATCGTTCCCTTCAGGGGAGAAAGGCTTCTTCACTTCCACCTGGCCAAAAATCGCAGTGCAATCAAGTGCGGTGTGCAAATGTGACAAGTCAAAATTACCATAAAATGGCACAGGTAGATATGAGAGCAGTGCCAGAGCAAGGTGATATGTCTATTCAGCTGTGAAGCTGTGAAATTGACACTAAAAAAGGAACTCGTGATAAAAAAAAATGTACAAGAATCACAAGATTGAGCAAAGCCCTAAGTAAGGGATGTTGGAGCAAAAAGGTAAGACAAAGAAAGAGGTTAACCCTTTATCACCCAAGTATCATACAGGCTGCTTGGACTTCTTACAGTAATATGAAGCACACATGGTTAATCTGTGTTGAAACAGCAGTAACTTTTCCTCTACTGTGATAATACAGAATATCTCCGTAAAGCTCGTCTTCTCTTCTTTCCAAAACTATTTGAATTTTGTCCATCCATCCTCTTCTGCTTATCCTTCGCAGGGTCACAGGGGGGCTGGAGTCTATCCCAGCTACCATAGGGCAAGAGGCAGGGTACACCCAGCCTGACACAGGGCTAACACAGAGAGAAAGACAACCACATCCACACCTATGGGCCTGTCAGAATCACCAACTAACCTAACCCCACCAACTGCATGTCTTTGGACTGTGGACATCCTAACTCCACAAAGAAAGGCCTTGACAAGACGGTGGATGTGAACCAAAGACCTTCTTGCGGTGCTAACCAGTGTGCCACCATGCTGTGGGCGTGTCACATTGGTTAGTAATCAAAGAGGACATGTTTGTGGTATAATCTGGTCGTAATGAGTTTCCTATACACATGTATAGTAAATCCCCACACAGCTCTGACCATCCTGCACACTAGATGTTGCATTCATCAGCACCAGATAACCACAAACCACAGCAACAGCCAGCACTAGTGTTTTTAAGTGATAAAAAATGTTTCCCGTGCATTTGAAGATACCACATGTTTCAAAGGTAAGTCAGTTTTTTTAGCCAACAACAGCAAAGCCTCTTTATTATCTTCCCAGACAAAATCTAAGTTTTAGAAAGACTGATTTCTGAGACTGAACATCACAAATAATGGCTTGTTAAAAGCAGTGTTGGGACTAACGCGTTATTAAGTAACGCGTTACAGTAACTACGTTATTATTGTGGTAACGAGCACGGTAACTAGTTATTATGCCAAAATCAGGAACGCGTTACTCGTTACTGGGATTTAGATAGGTTCGTTACTCGTTACTTCGTGTGGTGGCTATCGCGGAGCTTCCACAGATTCA